CACTCGTGAAGGATTGACTCGTCATTAATGGTCGTATATCCATGGACACAAAAACATTCTGCAGTGAGAAGAGTGCAACTGCGGGTCTTTAGTGGAATGACCCGTAGTTAACGAATCTAGATTAACTCGATCAATGAGTTTGACCGATTAATCTTGCATCGTTGGAGCTTCGGATCTGTAGGTCCATTAGGTCCCCTTGCTAGCTCATAACGGGTAAAACGAGGATCAAGTTTTTGGAAGAATTTGAATTGTTCAAATTACTTAAGGGATTATATGTATATTGATACATTATAATATATAGTTAATTATAAATTAAAACTATATATTATGAGAGAAATTATTTGAATGAGATTCAAATAAAATTAATATGAATAAGATTCATATTAAAACTATAGGTTAAAAATAATGTGCATAAAATGTACATTAGAACTATAGGTTATACGAGAGAAATGTTTTAGAATATGATTCTAATTTTATAAATAATTAAGTGTTAATTATTTATGTATATATATATTTATTAATTATTAATTGGATTAATAATTAATTATATTAATTAATTTGATTAATTAATTATATATATATTACTTATTATATATATATTATTATATATATTATATATATATATATTAATATTAATAATATTAATAATATTATTATTAATATTAACTCCCCTGCAAAATTGCAGAGGAGTGGAAGGAGATGTGACGTGGGGAGTTACCCCACGTCACCCTTCTTCTTCCTCTCCAAGTGTTGGAGAAGCAGAACAAGAAGTGAGATACAGAACAAAAAAAAAAGTACTCCCATCCAATTTCTCTCAAAAGAAAAAAAAAAACTCTCTCAATCTCTCCCTCTCTTCGATCAAGGTGCTACCACAAGCACGATCCCGAAACCCAAGAGGATAGCGAGGAAGACGTAGTGGTGGTGTTCGTGGGAAACGTAGAAGAAAAATTCTTCAAAGGTAATGGTTTCCCCTGTATTTTCCCTCTTTCAATTTCGATTTTGTATCCCTAAAATCAGCAACGAAAATTCGCTTCCGCTCCGAGAATCTCATCCCTTCAAATAGACACAAGATATATCTAAAATTTGTAAAACATGAGAGGTTCAGGTATCGCCGAAATGGTGGTTTTGGTTTTCTTCTCCATTATCAGCTGCTTTAACATCTGGTTCATAGCCGCCATTTGGGCTTGCATTGAAGCTATTGTGTCTAACTCAAAGACTCCGGCTTATACTTGCTTCTGTGGTAATGACCTTCCTATTTCGCCTTGGTCATTAATCTTTGTCATCTTGTTTAAGATATCAACGATCTCATTTACCGACTTTTCTAGCAACGAGCCATTGGCTGCGTTGTTCAACATCATTATCGATGAATGATCCAATCCTCTATAGAACTGTTCAATCTGCACACATGCGGGCAATCCATGGCTCGGACATCTTCTCAGTAATTCCTTAAAACGCTCCCAAGCTTATTGAATTGTTTCGTTCTCCTTTTGTCGAAAAGACACAATGTCCTCTCGAAGGTCTGCGTTCTTGGTCAAAGTGTGGTACTTTGCCAAAAATTTCTCCGTCAGTTCCGCCCATGTGTTGATAGAATTTGGTTCAAGCGCATCTAGCCAAGTCCTTGCATTGCCCCTGAGGGAAAAAGGAAACATTTTTTTATCTTAGTGCATCCTCGGAGACACCAGAGAGTTGAAATGCATTGGCTATTTCAATAAAGGATTTGAGATGGGAGTAAGGATCTTCGTTAGTCAGTCCTCCGAACTGGCCCATCATCTGTAACATCTGGAACGTGTCTGACTTGAGCTCGAACTGTGCGGCTTGGGGTAAAGGATTATTTATCCCTGAATTTAGGTTGTGGAACGCATGAGTGACATAATTCTGCATGGCTACACTGGTAGGAGGATCAGATTAGGCACTTCTCCTGCTCGGTTTACTGCTCCTTCACCTGCCATATCTCCATTCACAGGTGGATTTTGTGGCGGTGAAGGATCTTGTGAATTTCTATTCATCTCAATGGTCTCTTCTTCAACTTCTTTTTTTTCTCGATCTTTTTTCAACCTCTGCTCACGCCTTACCCTCTTAAGGGTTCTTTCAATCTCTGGATCAAAGGTCAACCAACCAAACTCTATGCTCATACACAACTTCCTTAAAGGATAGATATAACAATTAAGTCCAATGATAGAGATATGCAACAATCATACATGAAACAATTCACTTGAAAAGAATATGATTTGAAAACTTAAGTCCCCGACAACGACGCCAAAAACTTGTTGGGACTTTCTCTACCTTCAAAAAGATTAGAGACTCGTGCAAGCACACACGGTCACAAGTAATACTCGGAAGTCATCCAAGGTCGAATCCTCAAGGACTTGTTCCTTTTCAAAACAGCTTTTAAGAAGTGAGCAGTTCAAATATGCAATTGTGATTTAGGAAGAAAATAGTGGTGAAATGTTGTCGTTTGGGGTTTTAATTAACGAGCAATGTAATGAAACTCAACCTCCTTGTCTCCTACCTCAGTTTTGATGCAAAACATGGAAAACATACTATGTTGGGAAAATGCACCAGGCGCAATTCCTGGCTTTTCTTGGGATTTGAGTTCTACTCTTTCACTACTGCTTTTGGTTGCTGCAGAGGCTAGGGTAACCTACAATCATATTCCTATGTGTGATTACAATCCTAGAGAATATCTACCAACTCATTTGCATTATGGGTCAGAGGGCCTATGCATAGGACCATGTTTTATGCGCTTATTCCTAAGTCACATCTCATATTGGTTTCCTATTATTTTAACTAACTCACATTTCCCAAGGTTGGGCTTTGGTGTATAAATTAAGTTCTCACTGGCCAAATGCAAAAAAGACGTAAAGAGAAGTTTTTAGAAACCAACCCAAAAAAGTGTCAGGCGCAATCTGGCCAAAATCCCGAGCGTGTTGAAAATCAAATCATTTGACTAAGGCATTCCACAAGGAGGTTGATAAATAATTTAGAACATGATTAAATGATAGTAAATGCACGAAAACATAAAGAAAGTATTGTTCATTGAATTTAAATGATAAATAAGACGTACAAGGAGTTCTACCTTGACCCTCTTCTCTCTCGAGCGTGAGGAGAGTTAAAACTCGCTAAAGAACTATAAAATAACAGAATAAACAAAGAACAGAAGTAATAACTCGAATTAAAAGCAATACGAAAGGTAAAAGCGTGAAAAACAAAGAAATGA